AACATGTAAACATTGTACACACGGTTCATACTTTGAAACATATAATAAGGAAATCTTGCATCTACACAGAGGTTCTTCCATGAGTAGAGGTAGAAACCTTTGAGAACCAAGCCCTGTTGAGGTATGCCGGGGATATTAGAACTATGACGCAGTCTGTCTATTTTATTTTCCATCAGAACTGTCTAGGAGAGCCCAAAGGGGAAATGCGTAAGCAAACATTCCCTCCCAGTCCGTGGAAAGGGCGTCAACCTGGAGAGCTAGCGGGTCTGGTACCGGGCTGACGTAGACTGGTAGTTTGTTGTTGAGGCAGGTGGCGAATAGATCTAGGTTTGGAGTATCCATACTGAGGTTATCCACTTGAATATTTTGGGATGTTGAGACCATTCCGTGGGGAGGATTTTGCTCTTCCGGGACAGGTAAATTGCTCAGATATTCAACTTGCCTGGAATGTGTCTTGCTTCGATCCTGCAACTCACTGTGTCTACCAAGCAAGTACGTATAGCCTACTTCAACAAGGGCTAAGACTTCGTGCCTCCCTGGTGTATGTAAGGAAGCACAGTCGAATCTTTACTGGAGAGTGGTGCAGAGGATCTAACCATGCTTCTAGAGGTAGATGTATCGCCCTCATTTCTAGGCAGTGTAACTCTTTTTCCTTGGGTGGACCATTTTCCCTGTACTGCTATATCGTCCATATGGGCGCCCCATCCTACTCCTGACGCGTCTATGTAGCGCTGATGTAGAGGAGGGGTAAGTGTGAGTCGAATTCCGGGCATGACGTTCTGACGTGTTAGCCACCAATGTAGTTCTGAGATTCGAACTGGTGGAGGTGGAATTAGTGCTTCTAGCTCTAGTTCTTTGGTGGTGTGCATCCAGTTTTGCAAGGGTCGTAACTGTAGTCTGCCACTGTGGGTCAGATCCTGGATGGACGTGAGCGTGCCTAGGCAAGACATCCACCAACGTCTTGATTTGATGTGCTGGTCAAGTGCGCTTGATATCATGTCTTTTACTCTTGTATACCTGTCCTATGGAAGAGCTACTATACCCATGTTCGGTAGAAATATTGCGCCTATGTAGGTGCTGTCCTGTGTGGGTGCTAATTCTGATTAGGGGGGATGCGCCAGGAAACCTAAGTGCGTTAGTAGCTGAATAAAGCACACTGTATTTATCTCATCTGCAACTTGTCCTGATTGGCCGATAGGAAGTCGTCTATATATCCGTGTAACCTAATGAGTTTTGGGTGAGTAAAGCCGATGGCGAGGTTGGCGATCCTGGTGAATAACCATGGGGCCATATGCCATAACCATATGCCGAATGGTAGTACCCTGAACTCGTTTCTCTGACCGTGTGACCGTGAAATGCAGATATCGACGATGACTTGGATGGATGGGGACGTGAAGTTTGGCGTTCTGGAGATATAGGCTTATCATCCATTCTGTTTGTCTTAAGGCGTTCTTTAATTTCTTGATGGATTCAATCTGGAACTTGGGAGATTTCTTCTTTGGGACCAGGAATACTTGCGAGTAGAATACGTGGGTGGTTTGCGATTCTGTTAAGGCGCTGATGACTCTCTTGGCAAGTAACGTGGGTATGGCCACATTTGCTGCAAGTAACTTTCTTCCTGGCAGGTGGAATCGGGGTCCAGTAGGATGGATAATTAGTGTTGGCCGTTTTAGAAAATGAAGTTTGTATCCTTTTCTTTCAACTTCGAGCAGCAAGGAGTCGTCTGTGATGGCTTCCCAATTGTCTGCGTACTGCATAAGACAACCTCCGACTGCTCCTGGAGTAGGGGCAGTGCTGAGCATTTGCAGTCTTGGATAGATGTCCATAAGGCAGGCTAGCTCGATGGGATTCATTGTGAGTGTAGCGTTGATACTCTGAAGTCTAAATCATTGTCCACAGGGCAGGCAATATCGGCAGTGTCTGTAGGAATCTGTTGAGCTCTGGTTAAGTCACCTCCGGCGGGATCCACCTCGGAAACATCCTCTGCCTGTACCTCTTGGCATCTTTGGAGGTCTTGTTCTTGAGGCGAAAAGATCTGTCTTTCCATGTTGAGGCTCAAAACGAATCCCGATGAGTTCACATGACGAGATTTATGATTCTGTTGACGATGCAGGAAATCTGCAGGCCGTTCCTGGATCCTTGAGGCCAATGAGATTCTCAGAACTTCTGATTGGACGATGATGCACTATCTGTGGAGCTGTAGCAGGCTGTGATAACATGGAACTTCTTAGAGGTTCCGGGATCATAAGGTGTACTTGCCGCAGCAGATGATTTCTTTGCATGAGAAGGAACTGTGCTGACATCCAAACTTGTGCCGATTGAAAATCTTCTTGCATCTTTAGCATATGGTCCAACCGAACTGTGAATAAAGCCTTCCTGCTCTAGTGTCATCCCTGTGGGAGTTTCTCAGGGAAGACCTTCGCTATTATTGGTCAGACGAAGGATGTGACGAATTCCAGGCGCAACCCAGTTAATGTATAAAATCGTCATCAATCTTAGGCTGTTATACGAAAGGAGCATTGTGCGTCTTGTAAGCATTCTTATTGATGGAAGGCATACCGAGTCTGATGTGATGTTATTATCTAGTCTTTAATAGGATTGCATGCATTTATCAATCATTTATGTGAACTTATTTCAGTTGAAGGGGAAACGTGGCATAGGATTGTGATAAGTTGTTTCTTCCCAGCCTAGATGGTCCACCTTACCAGACGTTCCCAGGTGTACGTGACTGGTTATGTTAAAAACCGAAAGGTACATTGTCTCTTCAACTATATTGGGAGAGTGTGATGAGCTACAAGATCTCTCCTCAGAAGGAGAGACAGCGTCCACATGCGACACTCTCGTCACCTGAACGATTCTCATTGATGGATGTCACAACGGATTAGAAACTTTCCTTTTCTTCCACGAAGCAGATGATGATTTCTTAGCTGACGCTCTAGTGTACTTGTGATAGTCAGGATCATTGTGTCATACCTTAGAAAGTTTTTTTCAAACTTCTCCTTAGACAGAGGTTCACAATAACTGCACCTTGGTTTTTGTGTCAAGTGCTTTTATTGTACAATTGGCACCTAGGATGAGGGTCACCAGTGATTTCATGTTGCTCACAACCTGAACAGACAGGAGCCACAACATTCTCTGAACTAATTACTTACTTGAGACTTCTGCCTTCTTATACCCCCGTTCTCTGCTGTGGAACTACCCACTGCTTGTCTTAAATGAAGTTTGTGATGTTCTGGTGTGACTTGTGTACAGATGTATCAAGAATAAAATTTACTTTGTCATTTGGACACACAGGAAAGAAGTCAGGTATTCCCACCTTGCGCATGCACAGTTGCGTTTCCTGCGAGAGATAGGAATTCCCTCACAACTATTAGATGTTGGCAGTGAAGAGGACGTTTGTAGAAATTTATGACAAAATTTAGTGTGGTTCTCTGCATAATCAGGAATTTATAGCTGTGATGTGAAAGAGGTAGGATATTAACTAGAATTATGTTGTTTTAAAGTTCAGAAATAAAATATTTCCCATCAAGATTTCTTAAGCTTCTTTGTCTAATTTCTATCCTGGAACAGATCCTGATTTGATCAGAGTGGACTGACCAGTTAATACTGTAGAGTGGTCACAAACTAAAGCATTAACTTGGACTACATTAAAAGGTTTAAGGGTGAAAACGTAGATGTTCATTGATCTATTTGAGCCATTTTACCATCATTCAAGGTCTGGTCTTGTTCATCTACAAACGTTAGAATAACTTACTGTTGCATTAGACAACACACCCTCTGCTATCTTCTTATAATCATGGATATTGTATTCTTTATCATCAACATCGACCACAGTAATGACTTCAGTTTCATGGAAGTAAATCCAAACCGCTTCTGCAAAGATTTACGTAACATTTGCTGTGTTACATATCAATTTCACAGTCTCCATTATGAGGGTTCATAACATTTGGATTTCTGATTGTTCTTTCCTGGCAGTAACAGACATACCCATTGATAACATAACTGCTCATGTCGGAGTAATGTCTCCTGGTTGAAGTGTGACGTTAGTTGAAGAAATGCTTTAAGGTCATTGCCATGGGCTACAAGACTTTGAGCAAACAATGGTTAGACACAAGTAGAGTGGTGTCTTTTACAGCTGATACATTATAATATATTTAATCTTCCCTGATATTAGGCTCAAAGCAACAAGCAATGAAATGCCAAGAATGGTTTAAGTAACAGGCAATCCAGCAAACACCTATTAACCAGACAGTTTGAAGAACTAACGGGACAAGACGATGTAAAAAATGTGGTTTAGAAACACTGATAGAATGTGAGAACTGGTACATTGCCAACTGGGGTTTGAATAGCAACATTGCATGCAAATTATACAGCAGGGACATAGACAGAACTTTGGCATAGAAACCTACTTTGTAACTCTGCATGATTCCTTGTACTGATTCCTTATATTTCTCGCTGTAACCAGCTCTAGGATCACCTCACAGTCTCTATATCTCCAAATACACTCAGCCTAAACTTTCTAACTGTATGGTCACCCTTACATGAAGAGAAAACTGGATAATAGTTTTTGATTGACATGATAGCTCGCCAAAGCTTGTCACACATAATACCTGGTATAACAAAAGGATGAACGGGAATTATAGAAACTATATCATGACATTTTCAGGAAGATGGCAAGTATGAAATGTAAGCAAAACAGTAGTTTCTTCTTTTACTCTTTCCTCTATGTGAATGTATTGCCACACTTGCTTTTAACAATCTTGGAAGCACAAGGTAGTATTCCCCATGTTTACAGGGGTACCTGTATTGACTAGCTGTGCTTTAGTAAACAAAATGAGTGTTTGAACAGACTACAAGTCTGGTATGAGGTTTGGCAATGATTATGGCGATTTAATAGAATCATTTAAAGATTACACAGTCAAATTAATGTTATCATAATCTTCCTGATCATTGGGGTGATTGTTCACTCCTCTTCCTCATTAAACACAGTACACACAGGGTAAATTGTAGGGAGTTTATTCTTTTCTTATTACAACATTTGTCAGCTTTCATTAAACAGTGAAATCATATCACTATCTCCATGCCGACCAGACAGTGTCAACCAATGATAAGACAAGGGAATGAGAGTTGTGTCAGAGGTCAGGCAAGCTGGAACAGTCAACCCACAGGCTGCTTTAATCATGAAATTAAGACTACCTTCCTTTCATATTGCATTCAAAAAGAGGAAATATCAGTAACTTATAGTTTTGACAAGTTACCGTAAAATAAAAAATGAAGTGAAACCTGGATAATTATTCTGTCATATTTCTAATCCAGCACTTTAATCCAGAGTCTCTCACAATATTACTAGAAACCATTGCAAACTTTCACAGTTTGAAAAGTAATAACAGAGTTATAACATATTTGTCTCCCCTCAACAAACCCTCAACAAAGTACTGATCAATATTTTCAGTCAATGCCACAAAGATAATAAAAAAAAGACAGGGAGATAACCCCAACTTCCCTACACCTCTGAGCACAATATCACAACTGTTGAGGCCATCTATACATGCAGTTAGTCACAAAAGTCATTTTGCAGTCATTGCACTTGAAAGTTAGTGTATCATGTGTGATCAAATATGATAGACATAAATCAGCCCATATATGTTTATGTAACAAACACTGCCTTGGAACAATCACCAGTTTGGCCAGAAATAAATTTTTTAACATGGACTAACCTGACAAATATAAGATTTGAATATTTTTGCCACCAATAAGAAACTGGGAATGTAAAAATCAACTAAAGTCAGTTCCAGCTTCCAATTTCTAATCAACAGATATGACTGTGACTGCCAAAACAATGAATGTAAAGTTTGAATAAGTTTGGTATGGATGGCACCATTGTTACAAGACATCCCCCTCCATCCCTTCCTTCCCTCCCTCCCTCCCTCCCTCCCTCCACGCATGCAGACAGCCAGCCAGCCAGCCGGCAGGTACACAATAAATTATCCAGTATTAACATGTTACACAGCTGCAGTAGAAACAAGCAACAGAGTCGCTGCTACACAAACTAGTTCAGCTTGACTTCAACAAATGCAATTGTCCATAAATACAAGATTCTGTTACTATTTTCTGTGGCTATATACAGTGCCAGACAGCGGGAATGTCAACAGGCAGACAGTCCAGCATACAGAAGCACACTGTAGCTTACTTCTTTAGTCATTTAATGGCCCAGCCAAGAGATCATGTCAAAATACCCACTATATTAGAAATAGATGTATCTGAATTTTGACATATTAATCAATATCTTTATGTTTCAGATCACCTACACCCATCCTGTCAATTTCTGATGTTTGTTGTTGAAAACATCAAAGAAAATTTGAAAATAGCTTACAAACTAGTATTCTCAGCCTTGATTTAACAGACTGTGCCCCAGGTAATATGACATACCAATCAAGTTTACTTTAGAAGTTCGACAATGTAGAGCATGAGTTGATAATTAGGATGTCCTAATGCACTGCGGTACAAACAATGAACTTCTTGGGTTGTCATACAGAATGTCCTTCATTAAGCATGGTGGTCTTTGGCCCAACTGTAATTGAGATTACTTTTGTAAAATTTTACATTTCTAATTTGCCCCCACATATTGAAACAAAGGGATAAATTTGCCTGAAAGTGTACAAAATATTTTTTATCCAAGATAAGAGCTGAATGTTGATCTTATGGCATGATCGTCGACTAGGCATGCCTGAAGCTAATTAAGCAAGGGACACACTGGTACACCCATAGCATAATAACAGGAGACTGTAAAATCGTCATCTTTGGTAGGATTTGAATGAATAGGAAAACAAATTAGCGTACTTGTAAGAACAGTACACATACAACATATTGTAGTTTTTCATCTCTAAATATTAATGTTAGTTTTTACAAGCCACTCCTATCCACAGACAGAATTGTAACCCTATGCTATGGGGGTACCAGTACTAGCAGAATAGGAACAAATGACATACATCGACACCAAGTGATTAAAACCAGGGTGGGAGACAGGATATGGCGCAAAGCCTGTCCCCGTCCTAGAAATCTATTGCTGAATATGGTAGAAAACACATTTCTCCTTACATCAAAATGTATAAATACTTCAAATTTAAAATATTCTCTCTTGACTCTATATACAATGACAGATAAACGTCCCAGTGATTCAGTCTGCACACCACCATTCATCCATCCACCTACAACAATACCCACACCTCTGCACATGGCAGCAAGCTGGGCACACATAAAAACACTTTCTCCATAGAAGTACACATTAATATGCTTGTAGACACTCCATCTCCACTAAGAATAACAATTCCACTCACTGAGGTTCAGTACTCGACATTCCACCATCCACATTCAGGGATATATGGGAGATGGCAAAAGGCTTCTTGTAAAGCAGGCCAAAATAAAACTGAAAGAGACTGAAGCTTACATTGTTAGCAGCATCCACTTGGGCACAGTAATTCAACTGAGATGCTCTGGTAGCAAGAGGCAATCATTCGAGCTGTTACACATCAACCAATACTTGTATGAATTACGTATGACAACAGCTATGTTGTGAAGGCAGTCAGGTTTGCAAATGTATCTGCAGGGTTTGTTACATGCTGCACTCAATGTTGGCGATTGTCGTGAAGCTAACTCCCTCCCCAAGCAGCAGGCATGTCACACTGGACAATGTATGGCAATGCTGCAATCTGTTTGCACAAAAATAGTCTGTGGTACTTATTGATGCCTCTGTGTCCACTGTTGAGGGGGATACATTGTCTGGGAGCCGCTTCTTGTCCTGTGTCCTGTACATTACCAACTTGGTCTGTGAACGTCGAAAGTCTGAATCTATACTAAGCAACATTCACCAGTAGTCTTTTGAGCAAGGCGCTGACTGACAGTACGGCAGGAATGATGAGGATGAACGACAGGAGTTGCCTCCCTTTGCTGAGCTCGCATTATGTGGTAATTCAGAAGTTTGTGGAGATATACTGCTTGACTCCTCATCTGGTTCCTGAAGCTGTGGTGCAGCATACGTGAGTGGTCTCCCTTTATTGTGGTAGAACAGTGATATGTTACAGGTACATCCTTGGCCTGTAAGCAGGTACATCTTATCTGCTACAACAAACATGTCTGCTATCGACAAGGGTAGACTCCTGATATGTAAGAATCACTCAGAAAACACCCCAAAGTAAAACAATACACTGGCCTTTTGGTGATTTTAGGTTACCTTTCATATAACAAGGCAATGGCATCTTTGAGCACTTTTTTGTTACAAAATCACCATTTTTATACAAAAATAATATCTTTCAGTTCACCCCTTTGGTGTCTGCTTCTCAACGACTTCTGTTGCAATCGAAAGTTTGGGCAGTGCAGTGACCACATGACAGTCACATCCAACACAGGACACTTCACAAGCTGATTTCTTCTCTCACTCTTAAACCTTCTCCTCCACATAACACACCAGCCAATAATAATTTCCAACTATCCACAGAAAGAGAGTATTCCAGCCTCACCTATGATAGTCCTCTGATGGTTTTACCAGGCCTTCTGAAACAATGATAAGGTACAGGGAGAAAGATTAAAGCCAGAGTTGCATGCACACAAGCATCTCAAAGTAAAATATCTTTTTAAATCTTCTACCCCAAAATCATTTTTTAAGCTCTAACACGGTATATTAAAATGGTTAATTTACATTTGGAACAAAAAGGTTAGTTCTAAAGCCATTGCAATTTTTGAAAAGTTGCCAATCAGACACCAGTTCAAAGGCCATGCATTTTAGTCACTGACATGACATGCACAATTTGAACTTGATCTAATTTCTTCAAAGTGATGTTGAATTTATTGTCATGCAATCATAGGCTGTTAACCCTACACAGAAGCAGTCATGTCAGGTCACAGTGTGCATGCAGTTAGGTGGAAATGCAGTCCATGTGCAGTGCTACTCACCATTATATACTCGGAGGATTGCTTCACAGACAAACTTGTATTGACTCTGAAATGATGAATTAAAACTACACTTCAGATAAAGCATTTTTCACACTGGACTCACTGTTACATTTACCTATATGAGAAAGTAATTCTTATTTCATCAGCAAAGGAAGCAAGATGTTGATGACAAGGGACTTACAGATGTTTGAATCAACATTGCCCTCTGGTCTCTCATCTCTTTCACAACAATTAGAGGGTAGACAGGCTGGCGGGCCTCCACCCGACACATCGCAGTCTCCATCGTGATCAGCACACCCGTCCGGCCAATACCAGCACTGAAACATACAGGGTTGTAGAGTAAGCAGAATGAGGACAAATAATCAGTTGTCATTTCTAGGAAGAGTATTGTGTATGAAATATTGCTATCCAGTGACTACTCCCTTCTGTTGACCAACCCTATATTCCTGTGTGTGCACTACTGCAGCTGACTGTGTCACTGATGCTGGTGAGTGTACAGAAGTGTCACGAAGTCTGTCCTGACTACAGCAAGCTGGACTCACCTGCAGTGCACTATCGTCGGCTCTACCATGCCAGATCTATTCTGTCGCACTTTCATGACGAATTCAAGGAAATCACTTGGGTCATCTGGAACCCCATGGTCCGGCCATGCTATATACTGCATGTGTCGAATATGTCTCTCTTCACTGGTTTCTACATGTGTTAGGTTAAACTCGCGGAATGCAAATGAAGGAGTCTCCTCTTCCTTGACACATGTGATCTGTAATGCCCCAAAGTCCTCCGTCTCATACAGCTCTGGCCAATACTGATGACATTTGACCCGTCCTCGCTCCACCTTCGTGGTCAGCATCACAACCAGCGAGGAGTGCTGCTCCCACACCATCTGTAGAAAGGAAAAAACATGCATAAGAATGTGAGGATCCAGAGGAAGGATGCATGGCTGGCAAATGTAACATTTCACATTGCAAATAAATGAGAGCTATATTGGAAAATGAATATATCATTGGAAAACTAGCTTTTCTATTACTATGTGCCTTTTGCATGTTCAGGTGACACTTCCTTGCAATGGTTTCAGTACAAGATCTTGCACCACTTTTTACACTAATGAAGATGGGACTAACAGATGAAAACACATGTAGCTGTTGTTCAAAGGAAGCAGAAACAGCTTCCCATATATTTTCTGATTGCAGGAAGGTACTTCCCCCTGGAGGGAACTCGAGAATTGGATTCAAACAAAAATCCATATTAGAATAGAGCTATCAAAACAAAACATTTTGCATGGATTTCTGCACAGAAATAATGATCATGTAAATGTAATAATCATTCTTTTTAAACAGATCATTTTTAAATATAGAATCACAAACTCTTCACAGAGTCTTCCAGGGGAATCTATATTGGTATGACTGTATTACCAAATGTAGTTTTATAGATTCTGGTCTTCTTCACATTCATCATATTTCCCTCTTGAGCCACAGGAACTCTACTTCATGTTCCAGCAGAAAGGATGTTTCTCAGTTACACTTGCTCCTCCCCCTGTTTATTAATTGACCAGAGCCAGAGTAGGAGAGAGTGACTCACCTGCCAGAAGTCAGTGCAGGTGTTCGGGAGAGGCCCCTGAGCTGCGATGTACCGGTTGACAATCCCAGAACCTGGAATCTCCATCTACAAAACAAGCAATAGCATCTACTCCAGCAGCCATAGGTATCAAACAGTTTGACTTTAGTGGTAGTTATTGTATCAACAAATATTTCTTGGCTTTAGCCTTATTGATGACAAATATAAGACATGTTTAGAAGTATTGGACTTGAGTGAAGCAGATATGGGCTATACAAAACATTATGGATAACAACTTCTTTCTTACACTGTAATAGCAATGTTTCACTGTAGATCCTTATACCATTGTTGTTATAACAATATAATTAAGAACTTGTTATCCATAATTTTTGGGTCTACTTTGTCTTCCGTCAACTTCTAAGAAATGCCTATCAAGTGAGGTACCATGCCACAGTTTAACATGAATACCCCACTCACACACAGAATACTGACTGAGTAGATCAGTCAGTTAACCTTTAGCCTGCTAAATAATTTTCACACTTCTTACCCCTGCCTGCTGGATTAATTTTAGCATTAGGCGCTCTAGAGAGGGTGGGTGATTTCAAACTGTCGGTGCCTCATTAAACAAGGGCCAATTGAAGAAATATTTTGCACATTTATTCCTGACAGAAAACTACACAATACTGTATAAAAATATCCTAGTGTGTTTTCAATCATAGCAAGGTTAAGACCAAAGTGAACACAAAATTTGTAAATTTTCTTGAACTTACCTGAATTGCGTTATTGAAGGTGGTTTGCATTTCATGCTAGGAACCTTTTAATATCGTAACATTTGTGCAAACTGATTTCAATAATCATATCTCTGATTTCTTAATTTTAATTGAGTAAAAATTCAGGTTTTATAATCGGCATATATCAGCGCGATGGTAAATTATGAACCATTTAAGTGAATTTATTATCTAAACGATAAACAGAAAAATAACTTAATTTTCGAGGTCATCATGTCGGTTGCAGAAATACGAATATTCGGGTTAATCTGACGTGTCATGTTATAAATTTTGCAGGAAACAATTAATGACTTATAAATATTCACTAATCCTAATTTTAAGCGTTTTGGTTGAATATTTATGATATACAAAAATAAACAACCCGTGTCATGATGCTAGCAGACGTCCTAAAATCAAACATGGCTCGCTTCGCCCGACCTCCGCATAACTTATTGCTATTTTAATAACAACAAAGTTTACATTGCCTTTATAAATATAACTTGGCGAAAGTTGAGGATCTTCTCAATCGAAGAAGGTTTTATTCGTCATATTCCGATAAATATGACGAGAGAAAAACGAAAATAAAGATCGTGAATTCTGACAGCACTATTCCAATATTGCAAAGGTCACCGGATGTGATGTCACAGACAGGGGTTGTCTGCTGATAATCTTTCGAAACAAAACAATTACAGTAAATTTTGAAATAGTTCGCCTATCACATATGCAAAACCATAAGTCGATACACAGTATCAGTAATCACCACTAACATGAAATAAAAATGTGACTTTGACGATATAATTCGCGTATTAGTTAATCCATTTGACCTTGCATGCTCCCGTGACCCGGAAACGGTAGACGATAAATCAACATGCCACATGCAAGTTTCTCGGTATCTTTTATTTGAACTTATGTTGATATTTAAGAATCACAATTCAATGTTACGGTGAATATAAATGGGACATGATTCATATTTCTGCGATGTACACGCTGATAAGTTTCACTACAACAAGTGTATCCCACGTAATACGTCTATGGATATCGTCGTTCAGCAAGATCACCCTCAACAACAATTGCGCGAAAATGGGCTTGACAAAACGTGTTTCAAAATAACATCCCCGCGTTGCTGAATATGATAGGGTATATATAAACAATAAAATGCTACTTAAATATTTTTGGTGTTAGTTCCACATTACATTTAGGATAGTTTTCCTTTCGGGAATACATTCATAGATTCTAGCATGTTCTAAATTCTAGCATGATTTTAGAACAGTTTCACGAAGGATTTCTAAATTTATTCCAAAAATATGAAGACCACCATGATTGCGTATTGATGATAGATTTGTAATTGTTTAATTATTTACAGCTGTTTACAGGTTTTAAAATTTTAAGTTATATTTAATAGTTATTTTTCCCACAATGATGGTGTGTGGGGACAGTAAATATTAGTCTTTGCATCAGCACAGTGTAACTGATCAAACTTCAATTATTATCTTTAGTTTAAACATATTTATTCAACAATTATTATCTTGCACTCTGAAAATCAACTATGTGAATAAGTAACTCTCTGATGTCATCATTTTAATTTTAGTATTCCATGAATAATGAATAAATCAGATCCTTAACATATACATACTAAACTTATATGGACATTAATCTTGTGCATTATGTGGTTTGTTTCCAAATAAAACAATTCTGAAATATAATTTAATAGGAATTAATTTAATTTAATTACAGTAACAGTACTTGTAACAGTACATGACATTTTTATTATTTTTTAATCACAAGAACCATGGTGGCACATGAGCTGGTAAGTTTGCCATATGTTTCTTAGAAAATGATATCTCAGTCTTCTGGTGGGAATGAAAAGAAACATGCCTGTGTACATGTTTATACCCTTGCCAGATGTATTTTTTCCAGTCAGCCAATCCATTACTTTTGTTCACCTTATGTGGTCTATTTTATACATACAGGTACTGCTTCCAACCTGTTTTTCCTTTGTATGCAATCACAGTATCACAACTTCCTCAGCTGGTGTGTATAAAAGTTCCCCTGTCATCATGAAAAAAGAATTATAAAGGAAAGTCATATTTTCATTCAAAAACATATCTGTCTTTCCTTGAATACTCTTTGTCTAAGTGCCAGAAATGTCAGTGTCAAAAAAAATTTAAAAAGATGTTCATAAGGACTTTTCTTAGATAGACCTAGATCTAAGTCAAACCATGTGACAAGTTACGTAGAATTATAACCTTATAAGCCCTCATTTCTGAGGTGTCCATATTTTTCACATTTTTAGGACAAAACGTGATCCGTGTAGATCTGCCTGTTTTGTTATGTAAAACAAATTCTTGTCTTAAAAAATGAGAAAAGGAATCATTCAGACGAATTTTTTTTATCCCATTGATTCACAAAAATCAGTTGAAATGTACAGTGGTGACTTTTGTACCCAAAACTTCTAGTAATTTGTTACCCAAATGGGTATGTGATTTTGTAGATCTACCTAGAATTATTTCAAAGATATACATTAATTTGGTGTCTTAAACTTAACATAATATCACTTTCCTATCAAAACAATACATTCTAACTTAGGTTTCACCAACTTAACTGGCCTCTTCTTCAGTGACAAGACGTCAATTTTCTCTCAAAACTAAACAATCAATTTCAAGGATCACAGTCATAATCATATTTGGAACTTGATGAAATATTTTATTATGTGTTCTGTTCATCTACATGAAAACATAAATATAATTATAGATCTATTGTCTTATTTTCTTAGGTACAAATTCACAAAGTATTTTGGGTACAATTTAATTTGTTTTTAGTACAAAATCCCATATATAGGAGCCAAGAATCTATATATATTTACACTACCTCGTCGTGTACCAAAATTTTATCGGTTCAGAGGACGGGAGGTTCTCAGAAAGTTTTCAACAACATCTTTAATATTTTAAATTGTTCTTTTTGTAATGTTAGACCAATAACAATATTATGTTGTTATTATTATGGCATATCAATACGTTATATCGCTCTCCGTTGCGTTCCTTTCAGAAAATATTCTAAACTTAAAATCATCGAGCGTGAAATCCATTACGGTTTCGGATGAAGACTTACACATTTGATGGCGACAAGCACGAAGAAATATGAAACAAATAGGAGTGAAGACTGCTCTCCAGATCAATAAATAGTAAATAGTTGACGAAAAATAGTAAATTATGTATTTTCTTTTGAATTTGAATCTATTTCGGAATTTCTTTATGATAGCTTACCAACTTTTGCATATTTTGCTTCCATGTGTCACATGCGGTACGTGCTTCCGGTTTCAGAAATGATAGCTATAAAATTGCAAGTATTTTGATTATTTCTCGTAAACTGCATTATTTTGCTATAGAATGGTTTACCTAGAATGTACCGTATTCGACGTAATAAGCGCCCAGGGCGCTCTCAAAATTAGAATATTATTTTGGTGAAAAAAAGTTGAGTTGAAAGATAAATTTCGTGGTTTATGCTGACAGCCTGACATGTTTATGTACGACAGATATATTTTCCCCGAATTTAATTGCCCATAATTAAGTGTGCATATAACACACGAGTGCGTATTATACGCGAATAAATAAGTCTTGTGTACATTAATCAATCGGAAGGGGTGCTAATTGGGATTGTTCACTAGCCAATATCTTAGCAAATATCGCCGTGGGCGTTTATTAGAGCGGGGCGCTTATTACGTCGAATACGGTATATCAGTTCAGATTTTGCGTATCATCCAATATTTGTCATTTTTCGCAGTGTTTGTTGACGTTGTTCAACTCAACAAATCACAAGTTAGGCCACGCCCAAACGTATCACTGACGTTTGTCGGCTTGTCAATGTGTCAGAAAGTTATCAAACGAAATCATTTGCAAACTCTTTAAAAATGAAATTCTTTTTACAAAGATTTATACATAGGTGTCAATAATTCTAGAAAATTAAGTTAGATGTAACAAAATGATTGTAATCGTCTAACGGGATAACTATGCATGTGGAGTTGTTTGTTTACCGCCGTTGCCATGATCGTACAAGTTCCATCCAATCGATGATGTTACGATTCAGATTGTTTTTGTTTACAATTAGTTACACCGAAAGTTGCTAATGTTTTTAAATAAAGGAACATGAGTGTTTCCCTTTCGTCAGCAAACAAAAATTTATGATCGAAAAGGAAAAACGATGAAATTATAAAGAAAATATCGGACTGCATGCTGCTCAACGTGAAGTGCCAAAAGTCAACAATGGCCGTTTCTGGTAGTTGTTTGCAGATTAGTTTGGCCGAAACTTTTTTAAATCGCGATATTTTCTTTTTGAGGTAAATAAATGACTGAACGTTTTGATATTGAGCAAGCTGAGCATTTATGCATGTCATACGTAATTTAAATGTTACGCAAAGCCTTCTTTGTAAATAGATATGGCGAGTTTTATTTTGGGGTGTCGTTATGCTATTCGCCTGTCGAATGGGTTCGACATTAGATGCACGGGAAGTGACACCTCTGTCGAATGGGTTCGACGTTAGCGTGCAGAGCTTTAAGCCCCTTAATGTCAAGCGCCTTGCAGGGTAACAACAAGTACCATATTTTAACGTCTTTTAGTTTGACACGGCCAGGGATCGAACCACCAACCTTTTGCTTTCTGGGCAGACTCTCTCTGCACAAGACTAGGGAGGTAGTCTAGAATCAAATAGAAACACAAAGACAAAAAAACCTATAACAATGTAAAAGGATGTCTTGTCATAACTCACATTGACATAGTTAGCATTTATATAGTCCCCTGATGATCCTGTTTTCAACACAACTCTCGTCTTGTCATCTGAAAAGAAAGACAACCAGTTAATTTCAAAAGAAAATAAACTCCCTTCTCATCATGATATACATAGTAGTGTATATATATGTATGTATGTATGTATGTATGTATGTATGTATGTATGTATGTATGTATGTATGTATGTATGTATGTATGGTATGTATGTATGTATGTATGTATGTATGTATGTATGTATGTATGTATGTATGTATGTATGTATGTATGTATGTATGTATGTATGTATGTATGTATGTATGTATGTATGTATGTATGTATTATCCACTTCTTGATTATCAGTTTGGATGGAGTCAGTCTCCAGGATGGAAGCTACTCACATGGTGAAATGTCCCTGTATCTGTTCTTTGGGATGTTACTTTCATTCCGAGCAGCATTCATGGTCATATTAGGTTTTTTTCTGTACAATTGCTGAAATTCAGATACATCCAACAATAGTTATCACTGTCAATAATTCAAAGAATTCTACATCTATTACATTAATGCCTAATTCCAATAACTTACACTGTCATGACACTAAAACAATCTTTGCATTTTTCACAACTATTCCAAGTAATAGTATCTTGCCTCCCTTGCCTTTTATGCATGTACAAGACTGCTATCTTGAGCGCTGGTTCAGAGTTTAATACATCCCATCGCTACATGAACCAGCACTTATCATTGTGAGCGTCCTCAATATTTGCTTATCCATTTTTCTTAAATATCTCCATTAGTTTTGGGTTTTAAAGCTTTCTTCCAATCAGAGGCTATAGATCATCTTCACAGTAGTAGAAACAAAGATTGTCTCAATATTTTGAATTAATACAAAATTAATAACACAATAACACTGAAAGCTTGAAATTGCTTTCATTTGGGTGAAGTTAGTGACAAGAGCAGAATATATATTGTCCTGCAGGAGGTGTAGTACCTCAAACTGTGCAAGTGCAGCCCCACTCTCCAGGCTCTCCTGTAGCAGCATGAGTGAGGACTCAAGCGTGTTGGCGCTGGAGGAGGAGCTGGCTATCTGGTGGGTCTCAGGGATGTAGGTGAAGTCCGGTTCCTCCGACTGATCCTCCCCCACATACACTGCAACAAACAAACAATGCATGGGGCTGCCTTTCTCTTCCACTTTGTATTTTGAAGCCACAAATCAAATATACACACATGAACATTGCTACTTGACTTGGAAAGTGCAAGATCAGATATATATTTGCTGGGAATGACATCTCTTTTCATACAACTAAGGTAACATATATACAAAAAACATCTTAGACACATTTTCCCATATGTTTACCTTCACACCAAACACATTCACTTATTGACTTTTATTGCCACTGATGACTATGCGCGGCCATTCGGTAAAAAAATACAAAGTTTAAAAAAAGGACAAAAGAACACAATTAAGGTCAAATATTACGAATAAAGAACTAAATGTCACTACTAAAGGATCAAAATACAATATTAATAGTCAAATGTTACGAAAGGACGTCAGTGAGCACGAAAGGACGTTGACAATAAAGAACGTCAGTGAGCACGAAAGGACGTTGACAATAAAGAACCCCAGGTGGCGCTGCAATTTGTAAAACATTCTGAGTTTAAACGGCTTGTTCCGCCGTGTATATAATAACTACATGCCAAGGTGCACAATGTATTACGTCATTCCTCGTGCACTCACCGTCTGACGTCACACATATATATACATGTATTTATAATGTATAATGTACACATTGTGTATAAACATGTTGCGTTAAGCTTTGTCACCGCTAAACAGCCTTTTCATAAATACAGTATACTGTGTAATCCAACATCTGCCTAACATTAGTACATGTATTTTGTATACAACCTTCAAAAAACACTCACTTAACGCTAAACTAGGATTCATCTACAGTGATCCAATAACTGTTATGCTTGGTGCAACACGAAGGTGCTATGATGCCGAGTTTTGTTTCAGATGCACATTTTCATCTGCAAAGTGAACGTTGTGCGAGAGATTGTTTTATTTAACAGCTTTTCGGAAACTGTGTGCGAACAAAATGCTGCCTAATATCTTAACAACCAATATATATACCAAATGGATTTGTATGCATATGTATAACTTACACATTCGTTAGGAAAAATAGCTCGCCATAAATAAATCGAGTTTCATCTATGACGCCAGCGTTCGTTTTCAAACCATATTTATTTCGCTTGTTTACATCCACATTTATATTTGTGACACAACGTTCACTTTTCAGATGAAAATGTGCGTCTGAAACAAAACTCGGCATCATAGCACCCTCGTGTTGCACCAAGCATAACAGTTATTGGATCATTGGAAAACGTTCTTTCGTACACATTGTTCTTTCTTTTCTTATGACGTCTTTTCGTAACATTTGACTATTAATATTGTATTTTGACCTTTAGTAGTAACATTTAGTTCTTTATTCGTAATATTTGACCTTAATTGCGAAATTTTGTCCTTTTTTTAAACTTTGTATTTTTTGACCGAATGGCCGCCCATAGATGAGATCACAGTTATATTACACACTGATAATCTCAGAATCTCACAACATCTTTTAAGCAAATATTTGTGGATTTTCTTTAATATAAGATATTTTGTTAACATTGAAACTCTGATCATGCACCTTAAGTATGTGATCATAGGAATGTATTGTCATATTGTGAGATAGTGAACTATTCTTGATTATGTATACATTATTTCTGCTTGGTCTGGTGACAGCCACCCACGTACCATTTGGTCTGACAACCAGCACCAGCTCCCCAGAGTGAGTCTCTCGAGAAGCTTTGATGAACATCACCACCTGAAACAGAAACCAGTGTGTCAAATGCCATCAACAGTCTAACAGAAACATGCCAACATCAAATGTAGATTATCTCCCCTTGACTAAAACCTCAGCTAGTCAGCGTAAGGAAATGATCTACTCAAACACTGAATCAACCTTTTCGCCCAGACAGGAGAGAGCATGCTTCTCCATCTCTCATGGCAACCTCCTCACTACAGAAAGGGAAGACTTGGTAGCTCACCTGTTCATGTGTATGTTGTGAGACATCTCTGCCATTGATGAAGAGGACCTGGTCTCCCTCATTGAGCCTGGGTATGGCGAGATCTGCTGGCGTGCCTGGAGCAACCCGAGACACAATGATGGGCATGCCCTGGTCAGCTCCTCCCTGCAACATCAGCACTTGGGGTAAGACAAGGAAGGCATGCTACACAAATACTGGGGTCATATACTACAGTGACTGGGGCAACCTGAAACACAATGACGGGCATGCCCTGGTCAGCTCCTCCCTGCAACATCAGCACTTGGGGTAAGACAAGGAAGGTTTGCTACACAGATACTGGGGTCATATACTACAGTGACTGGGGCAACCTGAAACACAATGATGGGCATGCCCTGGTCAGCTCCTCCCTGCAACATCAGCACTTGGGGTAAGACAAGGAAGGTATGCTACACAGATACTGGGGTCATATACTACAGTGACTGGGGCAACCTGAGACACAATGATGGGCATGCCCTGGTCAGCTCCTCCCTGCAACATCAGCACTTGGGGTAAGACAAGGAAGGTATGCTACACAGATACTGGGGTCATATACTACAGTGACTGGGGCAACCTGAGACACAATGACGGGCATGCCCTGGTCAGCTCCTCCCTGCAACATCAGCACTTGGGGTAAGACAAGGAATGTATGCTACACAGGTACTAGGGTCATATACTACAGTGACTGGGGCAACCTGAGACACAATGACAGGCATGCCCTGGTCAGCTCCTCCCTGCAACATCAGCACTTGGGGTAAGACAAGGAAGGTATGCTACACAGATACTGGGGTCATATACTACAGTGACTGGGGCAACCTGAGACACAATGATGGGCATGCCCTGGTCAGCTCCTCCCTGCAACATCAGCACTTGGGGTAAGACAAGGAAGGTATGCTACACAGATACTGGGGTCATATACTACAGTGACTGGGGCAACCTGAGACAATGACAGGCATGCCCTGGTCAGCTCCTCCCTGCAACATCAGCACTTGGGGTAAGACAAGGAAGGTATGCTACACAGATACTGGGGTCATATACTACAGTGACTGGGGCAACCTGAAACACAATGATGGGCATGCCCTGGTCAGCTCCTCCCTGCAACATCAGCACTTGGGGTAAGACAAGGAAGGCATGCTACACAGATACTGGGGTCATATACTACAGTGACTGGGGCAACCTGAGACACAATGATGGGCATGCCCTGGTCAGCTCCTCCCTGCAACATCAGCACTTGGGGTAAGACAAGGAAGGTATGCTACACAGATACTGGGGTCATATACTACAGTGACTGGGGCAACCTGAGACACAATGATGGGCATGCCCTGGTCAGCTCCTCCCTGCAACATCAGCACTTGGGGTAAGACAAGGAAGGTTTGCTACACAGATACTGGGGTCATATACTACAGTGACTGGGGCAACCTGAGACACAATGATGGGCATGCCCTGGTCAGCTCCTCCCTGCAACATCAGCACTTGGGGTAAGACAAGGAAGGCATGCTACACAGATACTGGGGTCATATACTACAGTGACTGGGGCAACCTGAGACACAATGATGGGCATGCCCTGGTCAGCTCCTCCCTGCAACATCAGCACTTGGGGTAAGACAAGGAAGGTATGCTACACAGATACTGGGGTCATATACTACAGTGACTGGGGCAACCTGAGACACAATGATGGGCATGCCCTGGTCAGCTCCTCCTTGCAACATATGTACTAAGGAGGAAAGTGAGTGGTTGAATCAGTTTGGGTGTTGACGCCACTTTGAACAGTATTTCAATTTAATCATGGTGTGTCAGGTCTTAAAAGTGAAGCAGATCTGATCCTGACATTTCTCACTGTTTATTAAGCCCCATAAGAATGGGTACTGTTCACTCATGGAAAGACCAGACAGGCCTGCTACATACATGGAACATATACTACTGGGGCCACTTGAAGACATACCTTACAGATCCAGAAGAAATGCTTACTCAAGAAAACATCAGACTGCACTAAAGTTTATATAGAGTCAACTCTTATTATTTCATATGTATTTATTTCTGCTGTAAATGTTTAGTTTCATCTTCCTGTGGCATGAGAGTTAACAGACTGTAAAAGTCCAGTTTCCATCATTGATAATCTAGGCTGGAATTTCTGGTCTTGATCATAGCGCCACCAGTGGCTATTATGAGTTATGTCCTTCCATGTCCCTCCTATTGACCAATCAGATTCCACCTCTCATATCACTTGCATTTACTTCAAACAAATGGCGGTGCCTTCTCAAGATGATCTGATCAATAATCAAAATCTATATTGTGATAAAACAGGTCTTACTTCACGAAGTGCATCAAGTCAAGGGAGCACCTTGATTGAAAACATGAAAAGATTTTGATACTATCTGTAAAGGCCATGTTGGCGGTACACATGTTTTGCAAATCCTGCTATCGATCAAAATTTGCACGGCAGTTTACGAACCAATGGTGATTTCGTTACATGAGTTTGATTTGACTATGCAGACTCCTTAGTCCAGCCAAATTGTACCTCCATAATTCCAGCCTAGTTTGTCTGGACTTTTATAGTTAGTTAACTCCCTTGCCTTGGGAAGATGGTTTAGTTTTAACAAAAATTAAACTTAAACAAATTAAGGTCTGATTTAATCAGATTCAAGAAAGACATCATTAATACTTTGTGCTTTGCATGTGGTACGTACACTGACCTTGACATTAAAGCCGAACCTGCCCAAGTCGTCGGGTGTCATCCTGATGGTGACCAGGCCATGTCCATCAGCATAACCATTCCCGTTAGACTGAAACAAAAAAGAAAGCAATCAACAAATTGCAGATATGATATTATTTTCTTTACTTGAAGCTGTCAATCACTTTCTGCCCAACTAAATGTATAGTTCAACGATATGCGGCCTCGTCTCCTTCATCACAAATCAAACCCTGCATTATGATTTGACTTTCAAGCAATCATTTGATGAGATCCACAGGGAATGTTGCTTGCATCTGTACTTGTATGCACTCTACAGGTAATGGATTTCTAGAAAACTGTAATGAACTAACACCCTACTTCTAAATGTAAAACCAGACTATCTAATTCCACAGGTGTTAGTGAAGAGCAAAGGCAGCCTCTCTTTACAGCTGGCCATTCCAGCTGTTAGACGGAGTCGTCTCAGTGTACAGGTGGTTGCTGCTGCTCTAGGGAGCTAGATCAAGTGTCCCAACAAGAGCCCTACAATACCTGCACCTATCCAGTGATCCATATCTCACCTGAATGCCTCACTCCCTCACATAATTGGACAAAATTACCTGTAAACGCTACTAGGCCACATGTGTTACGGCTACAAAGTGGCAATCAATGATTGTCAAGCCATAACAATGAAATCAGATGTAAGCTGGTCCTACACAGCATAAAACAAAGAGTGGCCAGTATCAAAAGGTGTGACTTGTCCTGATCTGAACACTGATTTAGCTCTTAACACAAGGCAAAAATGGTCTTCCCTTCAACTGAACCTGTTAACCTGTGTGAAGGTCTGTCCCTGTTCATATTTAGGAGTCACATAACCTGTATTGAAATAACAATAAAGATGACTACAGATTAAATTGGTAGGGGAAAATATACTATTGGTACTTTGCAAAAATAAATAGTGTCATAGCACTGTAGCTCACCTGCATATTAGTCTACAGTCATTTCCTAAAGTTGCTGTCAGTATTGATATTATAATGTTCAAACAGATGTGTGGAATCCCACTACAAACAAAACCAAGAATCATCTGGGGCAGACAAATCCCACCAGCACCCACAAATATGAAAGAACAAATCATTTGATTGTTACAGCAAGACCTACAAAAGTGATTTGTCCAGCTTTTTCTATATGGGTACTGTGGTGGCCATATTGAAAATCGGATTGGTTGAACAATCAGATCGATCAAAGAACATGGTCAAAGTGCAAAAGTAAAAAAACCCCACCAAAACTTATTTATATCATGAAAAAACAGAATAAGTGTTCTCAGCCCCACTACAAACTACTCAAATTCCAAATTTCATTACATTTGGAAAACAATTTGATGCCATGGCAACCACATCGAAAATCTGATTCAATTTAAACCTCTTGAACAAATTTGGGTGTCATCATTGTTGAGAACAAGTACGGCATGTGAAATTTCATCTTCACTGATTCAGTGGTTTCTGAGGGGATGCTGACAATGAATGATGGAGGAACAGGCTATGACAAAAGCTCACTTCAGTCAGGTGAGCTAAACATTTCATTCACAAAACAATGAAATAACAGCTTTAAGCTCTGATAATAAAGGTTAGCTATCAGAGTGAGTGAGTGAGTATGGTTTTACGCTGCTTTTAGCAATATTCCAGCAATATCACAGCAGGGGACACCAGAAATGGGCTTCACACACTGTACCCATTTCGGGAATCGAACCTGGGTCTTCGGCGTAACGAGCGAACGCTTTAAGCACTAGGCTACCTGACTGCCTGGAAACTATTAGAGATTAAATACATGAACAACATGTACATTGTTTATCAATGTGTAAGTCAAGACGGCAGGAGAAAGTAATGTGCCTGTCTTCCAGTGTTCATAAATCAGGCCAGAAAACCTCCAGTGCCTGCGGAGTCTTGAGTCGGTGAAGGTGGCACAGCAGAACAATCCCAAGCCTTTCACTCTCATCTTTTCAACAGTTTATGACTGATTTTAAAAATGACACACATAATTTACAGCAAACAGAAATACATGTACTTTATCTATCCCAAAACTTGATTTGCTGATATATGGCCCTTCAAGCAGTTTCCTGTTCCTTCTCATACTATGCTGTAACCAGGCACTGATTGGTTGACTCCTGTTCCAACTGAATATCTGCTTAAATGAGACTGGTCACAGCATTCTTCTCCTTCTACAACACAGGCTCACACCTTCTACACCAGAATGAGAAACACTCTAGTGGATTAAATAGACTTTGTTTCCTCAAATCAACACCAACTACACACTGATTAATGTCCCCAAGGTGAGATGTTGTATGACCAGGTGTCATTGGCAGATCATTCATCTCCCCTAGAAACTGATGCCTCAGAATGTATCAATACCTAAACCTCATCAGTCTCAACATTTCAGCAACATAACCATACATCCAATTTTATTCAGTAAACATTTATAGAAAAATGTTTTGTTCATATATATATCTTTTTAACGAATTCAATAATTTAATGAAAATCCTATCTTATGACAATGGGGCCGAAATACTTATTGCTTGCCAACTGCCAATGACATTCAACAGTTGAATGTTATTATTTGGGCGGGATTATCTGCATGTAAGTGACTAATGTCATCTGTTGAGATAAACTACTGTATGTGTTCTGCCCAACTCCAACTACCTTCTTCCATTTCTGAGTTTACCACTGCTCAGAATACATATCTGCTAATAACTTAACATCAGCCACCATTAATCTCTCCTTTCCATGACAATGTCTTATTACTGATTACCGCCATTCTTGCATGCTGTAAAGCCTCCTCCAAACATAACCACCTTCCTTTGGGTAAGTGCATCTAAATTAAGAAACTATTCAGCTTATTTGCTTCATTATGGAATTCTGTTGGTTTTACTCCCTGGCTTCACACAATAGGCAAATGCTGAAATTGCAGTAATACCACAATTGAAACAGGTTGGTTTTTCACAGGAATGTTGAACCTATTGTGAAATCGCCATCCCATCCTTAACACTTGGCCAGCCAAACATTCAAATATTTGTAATGGGGTCCTCAGACAATTTGTAGTTGAAGAATGGGGCAGAATTGACATGGCATGTTGAACCTGTGTTTTGTCTACAGCCCGACCTGTGCTTGTAACGGCAAGCAGTGGAGGAGAGGGGCACATCACACAACAAGTACCCGTTTCATTGTGAAGTAACAGGACCCTATATCTATTTCATGACAAAATGTCACACATGTCATATGTAAAAAAAAATAAAATAAAATAAAACAGTAATTTTACACATGTTTTTTCTATCCCAGTTTACTTGGTACAAAGGTTAGTTATTTTCACCACAGTGCAGCCTTACAAATACAACAGTTATCATATATATAACTCATCCAAACAATTTTCTTATCTGTTAAAACTGTCAGAAAAAAACCCAACAAGATCCTTCAGAATACAAGTGCTTTTTATAGCTTTAACATAAAAAGCTAATCGTCATGATCTTAAAATAGATTCAAATTCTGAAAGTTCCTGTTAAACAAGTTTGTTTTTACAAATTCATCTTTCTGAAAAGATTCAATTTGTATACAGCTCATAGGCAAATCTCTTTCAACGACAGACAACATTGTAAGCTATTATCTGGAGGCCATTGAGTTCAGAAGCACTGTAACAGTGTGTTCATGTGTCAAAATATGGGGAATTCCGTCACACCTGGATAATTTGTATCAATTGCAGCCAACACAGATGCCTACATTCCATGGAAGACAAACCAGGCAAGGAGAGACTACTGGCCAACATGTTTACATGGCTCACTCGGGTGGTTAGGCCCCAACTATTCTTTATAATACACGGAATGTTGATGGAATGGTGTATATATTCAGTGTCAATGTGAGACCACGGTTCAGCGGGTAGTTTCACTGCCACCTCACAAATCATTTACTGAATGTGAGGTCACATTTTAACCTAATTCAATACATTAACAATATATCATCATGCTCCTCCAGAGAAGAAAGAAAACACAGTTGCACATAAACTGTCTCAAATAATGAAAGGCAGGAAAACTTGATGAGAAAGGGAGACAACCAAACTGAAAATAATGTTTGACTTCATGGTGCAGACTAAAAGATTCACATCACAAATACCACTCCCTGTAGGGCATGCTTTGATAACCTACCAAACACCATGGAAATAGGTTACATCAAACCTGTAACTATACATCATCAATATTGATCTCCTTACTCATAAAGATGTGATAACCAAACCAAAAAGGGAACAACAAACCAACTGGATAAAAAAAACATTGTCTTACTTGATCAATCAAGGAAAAAGCTGACATAAGATCCATTCCGAAGAGGCAGTTTCCAAAAACATTTTGCCAGTTGGTTTTTGTTCTTGGCAATAACTAACTCGCCCACTCTCTCAGGGAAAATTAACACAATCTGGTTGGCATAGTAACAACCCTAACAAAGCAGATATTAAACACTGGCCAAGAAACAGTACTTCAAACAAAAATACTCAATTCTATCAATACTCAGCAAAGAAAGTGCAAACGTATATTCGTCTAACATCCATTTGTCTCATTCCGAATCCAACAAGAATCGAACGCCATGATGTCTATCAATTTGTCAAAAACTCACCTATAAGGATTGAGGATTCATCTCCATAATGATAAGTAAACAAATGAGGCAAAATGGATAAATACATTTTTTTCTACTTTCTACTCATAGTTGAATAGGTCTTTATGTTACAGAGTTCTGTGAAGAAATATTCATATTTTTTAAAGGTTTGAGTCACAAAAACAACCATCAAATCCAACTTGATTCTATGAAAAACGAATGGAAAGCTTATCACACCACAGCTAGGTAAATGACAACCCATAATTTTAGAGCTTAGATCTAGATTTGCCTAATAATTGATGATATACACAGGGCTAACAAAAAAAATTGTCAGTCAATGTCAACAATAGGCAATTTGTCAGTGGCTGATTGGTACTTAAACTATAATATTAATTTATATGTATTTTTTATGAAATTTGCCAGAACTGCTGGATGGATGAGCGAGATGTCGGAGACCATACCTGACCACTGCCCATTTATTTGCAATAACTGATACAAGAAAACACTTCTCCCACTTTAGATAACAAATTCTGATGCATATGAATACTGGTTACTCTGTTACTGGTTATGCTGTATAGCCAAGACTTTGAGTCAGACTAACCCAAAGGAATTACATTGCCTTTCAATTATTTGTTTATCGTCGCCATTTTTCGAATGCTGTTTTTTCAGAAAAGTTGTGGTTCTATTAACTACGATCGGCTTTTGAACGATACAGCCAAAATTATTCTTTTACATTTGACCAAGTTTCCCAAAGTTGCTGTTCACATTTTCCGCAACCGACCGCTGTCAAATTTGATAGTGTTTCCTTTCATTCGTATAGTAAATGCATTCAGTTCAAATGTGGAAGCTGTACTACCAATACATCTCATTTTAAACCCATTCAACATTTTTTAACCAAAAAGATGGCCTGAATATGATACATTTTTTAAGCGTGACTGTGACATTTGTCCGGTGATCAACAAGCTGTTACTACTGAGTGTTGATAATCTCATTACCCTGTCTGAATGGCTTTTAGTCATGGTAATCCTGCCAACAACACCCACCGTCCATTGTGAAACCTCAAGTACAAGCTATGGTTGACCGTTCTGTCACCATCTGAAGGTCCACCAGGGCTTCATTGACCAGTGTACAATAAGTGGCTGCCCAATGGACCAACAAATCCCATAATAAATGGAGGATTACTGGCAAACCTTTCTCCTAATTGCAAGAACCAACAACCATAAGCTAACAAGAAATATGTTTAGATTTTTGTTTCAGACAAAAGAAGACAAAGTGTTTGTCCAGTGATGGTAGTGACTAGACAAGCCCAACTTGACAAGAGGACAGATGTGACATGGAAGGGACGTTCCAACTCAGTCCCCATGTCTTTCCACAAAGGATTTATGGCAATAATCAAATGACCAAGCTTAAATCCACAAGAATCAGCCAGTTCTTAAAGCATATCAAAAGAAAAACAGCCATATATTTGGAACAAATAGGGAATAGTGATTTCATTAAGGAGTGCTCATTAACTACCAAACTGTATTACAACTTTCAAGGAAACCCTGCCAGGTTTCAGGCTTCTCCTCCTTTTATCAATCCAGCCAAATATGATGAAGAGATATATTGCAGTATTGTGCAGGGAATGAATGTAAAAGTACTGTTCCTTCTTGATGGCTTCTGATGAAAAAGCTAGCCATTCGAGTGATGAAGCTGCTTGCCCTGTCATCCAATGGCAGCTACACACACAAATCAGTTTATTTAACCCACATGACTTCTCCAGTTAGTTTGTCAACACTTTTAAGCCCTGTAACTTACTTGCAGGCTGTTTTGTGGTTGCATGGCAGAAAACTGCTTACAGGAAAGGGAGCATTCAAAAAATCAATTCTGTGTGAAATATCTAAGCTAATCAAGGCACCAGTCATTGGGGTGGGGTGGGGTGGGGTGGGGTGGGGTGGGGTGGGTCAGAGGGAATCAGGGGTCATACAAAATAATGCACATATTTGTGGAAGGTCATATGAGGACGGTAATTATTTTCAGTACATTAGGTGCATCAAAAACCTCACCTGTAAACACACCCTCCCCTGTCATAAACAGGAAAGACAATACCTTGAGGAAAATATAATTGAAACGAATACATTAATATCATGTTCATAATTTACTTCATGAGAATTTACTATCCTTCATTTATGTAAAACCTCAGTTATGAGTTGATATATTTACAGGCACCATAAACAAATCTATGCTGCATTACAATAGGCTGAGAACAACATGATATAGCTGCATGCATGTCCTGCTCATAAATGTCCTTGCACTGCATGTAGAGAGTGACCTAGTGAATTCCTGCCACATAGCTGATCAGGGCAGGTAGAGCTGGGAGAGGCGCCAGCCTCAACAGCACAAAGCCAGTCACATGTAATCCGGCAACCATCTCCCTGTCTGCATGTCCGACATACCACATTCACCTTACTTAATACCCTCTATAAATACCCCTGACATACAGAGGCCATGCATGCTGGCAGGTCTGTTGTGCAGGGTATGTATCACCCAACAAATCACACAGCTGACAGATATTACATCATGCTTATATCTACTCAACATGGCTTGGAAATTATTGCCAATACAGTATGTTGAGTATGTTTTATCCACATAAATACTACGGGAAAATAATACAACATCACAATAAAAAGCCTATGTGAAAGGAAGTATGAAGTGAAGTAACCTATGCTATACATATCTGCTGACGCCCACCTGCAATGATCACTTGGAGACACACATTCATTACCAGGAGAAGAAATGAACATAATCATCCACAGCGCATAACATAACTGTGCATTCTAGTTAATCTATTTCTCCTTGAATTGGATTGAGAAAAACACAAAATATTATGACTGAATGCGAAAGACATTAAAGCAGGGAGGTATTTGACTGAGAGTCTATGTGTGGCAACAAGACTCGGGGAGGTTGGGCAAGATGAGAGTATTACACATATGTCATCCATGTGGCAGCCTACATTAACATGGCATGTGTCACAGACACACCAGACTTATAAAGACACACCACTAGAAACTACACATGCAAAGATTTCTTTCATTTCTCAACATATACCCCTCAAAGCTACGTTTCTGCATTCCATGTTATTTAGTATCATTAAGTTTGAACTGTTGTATGGCTATGTCCACACAGTAACTTGTGAGAGGTTGCTGTGAGCCTGACACATACCGCCTGAAGATGGAAGCCAATGGCCAGTGTACTAAACCTTCCCTCATCCTCTACATTCCCATCATACCTGCAATACCTAACAATAAATTAAATTAACACTGATCAATTCCATTAAGTTTGACCATGTCAGGACTAGTCTTTGTCAAAAGGTTTAATATATGCAAAGACACATGCAAGTGTTTAGCAAATAACCCCCTAGATCATGTGGTTTGCATAATGAGCACAGGCAATGAATTACAGTTTTCAATGTCTTATGGCTTGTAACAACAGGTCACTTAAATATTTCAATCAATTTCATACAGCATACCACAGAACGCCTATAAGCTCAATGCAGCCACTGTTCAGAACATTAGTCTTGATGAAACCTTTCTGAACAAACTGTTGTAAATGTTCAAGTAAATTACTTCCTCATTAAGTTCCACTTAACATGTAACATCCCCAAAATAGCCCTCACTTACTCCTTCATACGCAGGTGGAAGCTGTACAACTCTGAATGTGAGGGCGCCTCCGATAACACATCTTCGTACAACCAGCTTGCTGTCCTGTTGCTTGGCACTTTCATGGGACTTTATGCTGTTCATGCGAACTAATCCAGAAAATACCTTCTCCTTAGTCAGAGACTGTTTTGTAGCACCAGAAAAAGAGGCACCAGATCTGAGCAGCCTCTGGGACGTTGCACGCTTCACTGTTACATTATTTACAACCTTTTCGACTTCAGAATGGGTCTTGGCATCCACATGTAGCCGGTTCTCAACATCTCTCTTTAGTTTGTCCACTGTAGTGTCTCTCTGAACCCCTATCAGCTGGAACCCAGTTTCTCGGGGAACCTGCATCAGTTCACTATCACCCTGTCCAACACATTCTTTATCTCCAATAGTTTTTAACTGATCACTTTCTACTTTGTCCAGCTGAAATTTAACTGACTTCTTCACCTTGAATTTCTTTTGTAAAACACCTGACTGAGGAAGATGTTCAGCCAATTGCTTTCCTTGAATTTGAGGTCGTTTTTCCTGGTCAGACCATGAAACTGATTTGGTTCTCTTTCCTTTATCAACTTCTGGTGAAGTTTTTGGCACATGTGGATGATCACTACTACGTTGAGCAACAAAATTGTCATGTCTATCAGTGAGATCAGATTGAGAGACTGTCGATACAGACCTGCTTGCAGCACTTTGTGTGAGCACTTCTTCATTAGCACTTGACAAGGAGCGTCTTTGAGCACTAATAGATGAACGTCCCTTGTCACCTGAAACTATTCTAAAGCCCCTTTTTCCTCGTATAACTTTGATTTTCTTTTTAAGTATAATTGGCAAAACTTTCTTATCAGATTGTTCTGAAGAATCTGTTTTATCTAATTCAGAATCTATGGAACTAGAAGACTGTAGGACCTTAGAATCACCATGCACAGATAAAGAGGATGGCAAATGCTCACAGCTTTTATGCCTACTTCGTGAATAAAGTCCAGTCTGGACTAAGCCATTAGCAGTCCTGCTTGGTGACATTTTCTCCTGCACCAAACTGTTTTCCTGCTTTGTGTCTGGTCTTTTCCCTGCAGATACAAGCTCAACTCCATTTTGAGTCTTCACAATTTCCCCATTGCCAGTTTGAACAGAGTGTCTGACACTTCTAGATCTGACAAGCTGGAACACTTGCTCCTTCCTAATAGCCTGTGATCCACGCTCAAATGGACTCGCCATAAACACCACCATCTCTGTGACCACCATCAGTTTAAGTGGGGACACCACAATATGTTATCTAAAATGTTTCTTGATACCAAAAGAATCTAATTTCTTACCATACAATCAATCACTATGGCCACTTGCTTACAACTGTCCTGAGCAGCAAAACCTTCCGCTTGACACCTGGATGGTATATTCTTACACAGTAATCCTTTGGTATGTTAACAATGGCTATATCTGAAGTAATCACATATGCAAACCTGAATATAATCATAACCTGTTCAAAAGCAGGGCTGAACAAGCTCTTGTGTTTGCCAGTTGATGCATATTACGTCAATTATTTTATCCAATTTGAAGTCAAACCTCTACCTGTGTAGACATGCTATGCGCTTTCCTTAAAGGGTTGACGAGTTGTCAGAAGAGATGACACATACATCCTCATTAACATGACATAACGCATTCACATTTTCCATTGAAACTACCCCACACATTTCACAAAGACCTTCCTCAACTTGTGTCCCAACTGCCAGAGCAAATAAGAGACGTGTTATCTGTGCGTAATAAATATCTGTAATTCCTTTTATAGACTCTGCATTATCTAGCCGTGCAAGTAGTTAGTTCTGTTGCAGGCATTTCCCTTCCTGCTATAAAAAAAACCCTTGTTATCGATTCAAACAAAATCCTTGTTCGAATTGTTGAGAGATTTAGGTAATATCCAATGTATGCAATGTATCCAATGTATCAGCTGTATATTCCACAACTGGCAGTGGGTCACAAAACACACAGTCCTTTTCCCAGCTAGTCAAGCCCAACTCATGAAAACAATTATCCAGCCGTTACAAACTCTGTAAAGTCATCTGAATCAAGTAAGGCCATTTTTCACTGTTCAGAAAAGCTTTGTACATTGTGATGAGACAATGAGGGCACACCTCTCTCACTTTGACTACATTGACACAGACTTAGCCCCGGCAGCAGATGAGGCCCATTGCAGCCCTCTCCAACTAAAAACTTTGCTGCTGCCTGTCGACTTGAACAGACACCTCGACAGAGTCTTACTGATGTCATGCATGGAATGCACTCTGCTATAAACCAGTGTCAATCTGGGTTACACCATTGTAACACACATTCCGGATCCACACTTATATAATAACTCAACACGATGAATCCAGTCTCAAGCACTGCTGAATACATACAGTCTAAAAGCTGTCCAGTTCCATATATCACAGGTCAATCCACAAAACACCATATTGGAATAATTTCAGGGGAATGAATCGAATGATGTAGTTCCATTTTTACTGTTCAAGTAAGCATGGTCCCTTGATAAGACAGCAATATCCTGGTTTTTGGCAGTCCTCTCACTAATCTGTGACACTGTTAAGTGCAGTCAGGCTTCAGTTGTGGACTATCCTTGGCTGTCCTAATCCATTCTGCCTATGTCTCATGATCCTGACTGGGAGCCCCGCTTCAGTGGTGTTGTAAGGCCCCTACTGGAGCCCTGATCCCCGGTAGATGTCTACCCTTTAAAGAGACAGCCTCACTCTACCAGTCCTCTATGTAGACTAGTGACACGACCCTGCATACATTCATAACACAATACACCAACTGTGACGTGCCCTACCTCGCTGGCTCTGTGGTATGGCTCCTAACTCCTTACCTGAAGGCTATTTTTAGGTTATGTCATACAAAGGCTTCTACATATCCTAAATTATATTTGTCAATAATGCATTACTGTCTTGTTTACCTACATGAAGTCTGTGGCAACTTTAGTGCCCACACTTCATTCATGAAAACATCAGCATTTTAAATGTATACAGATAGTGTCATTATTTTCATTATAAGGCAATTAATGTTTTCAAGCTAACAGCAAAGCTTGCTATATAAAAATTTCACATATGAACTAATAATTATCCAACTTTAACACTTTCCAACAGAAGTAATGCTACAGAAGTAACATATGTAAATATTGCTGTGTGTTATAGCGAGGCAGTGTACCCTGCCCATGAATACCAGAGAGAACAAGGAAGGGGTGGCTGTGTTGGCTAAACTCCACTCACCTGTTGTGGGTCAGCAAGGCAAGCCAGCTCACTTTCCTCCAACCACCAGCTTGGGACTCTCATAATGAAATGACTAATTAATTAAGTTTTGTTAATCTGCTTGTCATTCTGCCTGACTGGGCAATTTTGTTGGAAATCATGCCAGCAGGAGACAAGCATAAACTATTTCTGTCTCGCTTGTCCACATGAAGGCAAATTAGACAACAAACTAATTCTAACAATATTTAACAAAATTAAATTCTGATAAAAAATCTCTGAAGGGATTTGAAGCTCTCAAGAAACAGACTGAATATAATGTAAGGACACTAAAATAGAAAATGTTTGATTTGTGTAGAGTTATTGTTTCAATGCATTCAACCAGGTTTTTCAAAAGGAGTTTTAAGATCATAAATGAGAACTCCCGGATTGGTGCCGGGCAGATAAGAGTGTAGATATGAGGTCCCTCTTGGGTCATGATACTCCAGGATCAGGAGACATAAAGGAATGTTCATTCATTCACAGAAGGCACAAGTGAATGTGTGAGTGCCTGGGGCGTTTATCATTGTCCAAACATCCCCTTCCAGGTGCCCTTCATGATGACAGTAAAGGTGAGCCTGGCTGTCGGAGATACAGAGCTCACGTGCAGTGCAGTGAGGAAACACTCGGGATCAACAAACACTATAGGTTGGCCAGACAGAAGGACACACATTATTTATCAACCTCTACCGCATGTGTGAAAAGTAACAGCAGCATTCCAATTATGAGCAACTATTAATGTATTTGCATGACATTCAGTATAGATATCATTTGAAGAAATTATATCAAAATTCCTTCTATTACGCCGTCAAAACTCAAGGATTATTTTATTGTCCAAAAACTAAAGAAATAAGTTTTTTTCAACTCTTTCAATGTACTCAAAAAGTGAAAAGTCAAAATATCCATAACTCCATTTGAGACATGGGAGACTTGTAGCACATTAAACTTGAAGTAAGTCTGCTGCATCTGCACCAGATGACAAAGTGGGAGGGGATAGCTTGTCCTGTGTGTGCCTGTTTACAACTTATCCAGGAGTGGGAGTGGGTGGGGGTTTGAAGCCTGCCAATTCTCATTCAACTAACTTACGTGACATCAAATGTTAGTTTTAATTCTCTCCATTATTCATATTGAATACATGTATGTGAAGTAGGACAAGTATTTGTCACAGAGTGACGAAATATCCCCCGCCTGTACACCATAGTACCAAATATGAAGACAATCCAGCGATTAGTTCTTGAGATATTGTGGCAACACCGTTTTCCAACTCCAAAAACAGATTTGCCTGCTGTGACCTTGAAAATGGGGTCAAGGTCACCAAATCTGTCAGGTGTATGCGGTGTCTGTATATACACTATAGTTCCAAATATGAAGACAATCCAGCGATTAGTTCTTGAGATATCGCGGCAACACCGTTTTCTAACTCCAAAAGCAGATTTGCCTGCTGTGACCTTGACAATGGGGTCAAGGTCACCAAAACCGACTGGTGTCTGCGGTGTCTGTATATACACCATAGTTCCAAATATGAAGACAATCCAGTGTTTAGTTCTTGAGATATCGCGGCAACACCGTTTTCCAACTCCAAAAGCAGATTTGCCTGCTGTGACCTTTAAAATGGGATCAAGGTCACCAAAACCGACTGGTGTCTGCGGAGTCTGTATATACACCATAGTTCCAAATATGAAGACAATCCAGTGTTTAGTTCTTGAGATATCGCGGCAACACCGTTTTCCAACTCTAAAAGCAGATTTGTCTGCTGTGACCTTGAAAATGGGATCAAGGTCACCAAAACCGACTGGTGTCTGCGGAGTCTGTATATACACCATAGTTCCAAATATGAAGACAATCCAGTGTTTAGTTCTTGAGATATCGCGGCAATAAACAGGTGGGACGTACGGACGTACGGACGTACGGACGGACGGTCGTGAATACTATATCCCCCGCTTCGCGCTTTCGCGCGGCGGGGGATAACAATCCCTCTGTAATCCCATCGACACATTAAACCCAGTGTTATTATTACACCCAGTGTTGCGTGATGCCAGCAGTACATTTTCATTGTGGGCTCCTTTATGGGGAAATAAAACATCTATACCATCCCCATAGCTGACAACAGGAACATTCTTCACATTGCGTCACACCTAAGTCTCACCCAGGACAATGACTGAAGTGCTACAACACACAAGCCATATCATGTTATCATTAGTCTGAACATACTAGAGGACAAAAAGCTAACAGCTTACCAAACAATCGTATCCATGTGCACTTGATATCCTCATATCTCATTGTAACATATCAACAGTCCTGTTATGAACTCACATGCAACTATTACCATGAACAAGAACCCTATAACTCTAAAAGTGGCTGGATGTATGCAGCTGTTACCAAGGACAGATCAATCTCATTTTTAATGTGTTTTAAGGCAGGAGGTTAATATTTCATATTTTACTACCTTGCTTGTCTCTAGCTGCCCCCCTGTGCTACCTTGCATAGTAGTACAAACACAGTTAGATTATGCCCCTACCAAGAGCAAGGCTTGCACAGTAGTACAAACACAGCTAGATTATGCCCCTAGCAAGAGCAAGGCTTGCACAGTTGTACAAACACAGCTAGATTATGCCCCTACCAAGAGCAAGGCTTGCACAATTGTACAAACACAGCTAGATTATACCCCTACCAAGAGCAAGGCTTGCACAGTTGTACAAACACAGCTAGATTATGCCCCTACCAAGAGCAAGGCTTGCACAGTAGTACAAACACAGCTAGATTATGCCCCTAGCAAGAGCAAGGCTTGCACAGTTGTACAAACACAGCTAGATTATGCCCCTACCAAGAGCAAGGCTTGCACAGTAGTACAAACACAGCTAGATATTACCCCTAGCAAAGGCAAGGCTTGAACAGAAGTACAAACACAGCTAGATTATGCCCCTACCAAGAGCAAGGCTTGCACAGTAGTACAAACACAGCTAGATTATACCCCTACCAAGAGCAAGGCTTCCACAGTAGTACAAACACAGCTAGATTACACCCCTAGCAAGAGCAAGGCTTGCACAGTAGTACAAACACAGCTAGATTATACCCCTAGCAAGAGCAAGGCTTGCACAGTAGTACAAACACAGCTAGATTATGCCCCTACCAAGAGCAAGGCTTGCACAGAAGTACAAACACAGCTAGATTATGCCCCTAGCAAGAGCAAGGCTTGCACAGTAGTACAAACACAGCTAGATTATGCCCCTACCAAGAGCAAGGCTTCCACAGTAGTACATACACAGCTAGATTATGCCCCTACCAAGAGCAAGGCTTGCACAGTAGTACAAACACAGCTAGATTATGCCCCTAGCAAAGACAGGGCTTGCACAGAAGTACAAACACAGCTAGATTATGCCCCTAGCAAAGGCAAGGCTTGCACAGAAGTACAAACACAGCTAGATTATGCCCCTAGCAAGAGCAAGGCTTGCACAGTTGTACAAACACAGCTTGATTATGCCCCTAGCAAGAGCAAGGCTTGCACAGTAGTACAAACACAGTTAGATGAAAGTGGCAGTATAAACAATCCCTGGGCCTTCCAATTTTAATATATTTTTAAGCTCAGTGGAATCACAAACCAGGCGAACAAAGAGAGAGGCCTAACCAAGTACTGACAATGCTTATGAAGTATGTGTAATCTGTTGACAAACTGACTTTATTAATGGTATTGAGGACAGCAGCTGGAGTTCTACAAAAAGCTATCAGCCTTGTTAATCGTTGTGACACAGATGCTGCAAAGAACTCAACCACAATGATGTGTGCATAATTTGTACAATTATTTATTTTTTTATTAACAGCACATTATGATTATGAGTATTTTTTAATATGCTCTTAATAGATACTAACTGTTAGTTTATCTTGTGCATTTAACAAATACATAATATAGGACAAAAACATTTTGCACTATACGTATTTAGAAGGATAACCAAAGTATGAAGTCATATCTAAGACCTCTTCATATAAAAGTATCTTACATGGTGAGTCGAAACAACTTGTCCACACCTCATTTTGGACAAACTTTTAACATATAATGGGTGATCCGACTGTGGACATTCAAGTCTTGAAGCTAACAGACTGATGTCCATGTCTAACCCTAATGCATCACACAATGCTGCACCTGGTACCTCAACAGTCCTCATAGAGTTATCTCCCATGGTGTGGCTTTCAGATCTTCATTGTGTATTCACTTTGCGTCAGTCCTGTATTGACTTATTGAGTTACAATTGGTTGAGTTCAATATCCCCTGACATAAATACACTGTTCGGCTTTTGTGTCTGGTGGACAGGGATACACTTGACCCATAAATGAGCGCTGTATGATCATGTTTTTCAGATTACCTCAATGCCAAGCTGAGGACAAAGGAGGGAACGTGATCAATGCCCATCATCTGCCAAACAGGGACAAGCGTGAGGAAAACTGTGGCCAATTTAGTCTGCATTTCCATTGATTTCTAAAAAGTACTACTTGGGCATAGTACGGAGTGTGGAGTTAGAACTGCAGAACAATGTTTC